ATGAATCAAATATGTATCTTTATTCATTTACAATAAACTCATAAAGTACATCATTCTGATTGAAGCTAAGGGCATACAAAACTGTCTAACATTTTGTTTCTTCTATTTCTCCATGGAACGAACTAGTCATATTTGAATATGTTTGAAATGCCAATAATCTGGCAATCAGAAGACTCAAAATTTTCCAATTGCTTTGGAATTCAGGCCATGGTCCCATACCCCCCATGGGACCTAAGGAATATCAGTGAACCTAAGGAATATCAAGGTTCTGCATTTCTTCTAACAATAAGCAATAAAAATAACTTCAAGCAGTGTATTTTCTTCAAGTTCTGCATTTCTTAACAAATCTGGCATATTAAGGATTTACTTCCTAAGGAATATCAAAGCCAAGTAACCATGAAAATTTTCAAAATGAGGATAGCATTGCTCATATCACACATACCTCAAATAAAATGACAACGGTACTTAAAAAAGCAAATTCTTTATAAGTGATTGATGGAAATTTATACTAATTTTAGCAAATTCTAAGCAAAAGCAAATATCATATACAAATTATAACATAATCCAATAAATCAATCATTGTCAAAAGTAATTAATGAAAGTAGAAACCTGGACAATCATCATTGAAAAAAAAAATTTAGGGGAGACTCTTTGATTAAACTAAAAGAAGACCCCAAGCAAGTTGGTTTGAAACTGAATATTTACAGAATATGATGAAGAATCATTTTTGAAGTATGGACCATGGTAAATCAAGTTGTATTATGCATGTCAACCAATTTCCATATAGATATATTAACTTTTATAATCAATAGTGATGAGTGATGACCAAAGATTATTTATTAATGATAAAGAAAAATATGAATAAATTTCTTCAATTGTAACTATACTGTGTTGTACATCACCCTTACTGTTTCTCCTCTCCTACTCTTGTCATGGGGAGTGGTGACTTAGTTGTTTCCCACTGATTTTAATGAATAAATTTCTACCTTTCTGATAAAAATACTAAATGAGTCTTAGCTTTTATTGACTATATAGAGTGATGTTATCCATGCCTAATCTGTAATAAGAAAGAGGTATTTCACATTCCTGGTATGCATCTAAGATGAAGAAACTGGAACTGGAATTTATTGGTAGTTCCTCTGTTCCAGACTTGGATATTAACCACTATATTGAGCCAAATAGCGGGGAACTAATGGAACCTATCACTCATTAAAAAAAAAAAAAAAGCCAAAGATAGTTGAAAGGATACTACCTGTGGAGTCAATAGCAGAACGTTCCCTTGTAGGGGATTGTTCTCATAAAGTTTCTCCAATTGAGCCCAATTCATCAGGTATTGATCTCTTGGTCATATTCCAGTTCATCTATTGAAGTAGTTGAAGTAAACCAAATGATAAATGATGCTTAGAGTTAATGTATTATGAGAAATGTCTTACGTATTGTTCTCCTATGTAATTTTGAATTCTCACTAGTGCAAAGTTTTTACATGTTGTAGCTTTAAGTGCTGAGACCAACTTAACTAATTTGTTTTTCTTTTCACTACTGAGCCCAATTCATCAGGTATTGATCTCTTGGTCATATTCCAGTTCATCTATTGAAGTAGTTGAAGTAAACCAAATGATAAATGATGGTTAGAGTTAATGTATTATGATAAATGTCTTACGTATTGTTCTCCTATGTAATTTTAAATTCTCACTAGTGCAAGGTTTTTACATGTTGTAGCTTTAAGTGCTGAGACCAACTTAACTAATTTGTTTTTCTTTTCAGTCCCTGTAGGCAAGCCGGCAAGATTCAGAATAGTGTTGATCCACACAACATAAGGTTCCCTTTTCATTCCAAATTTCAAAGATGGAGGGGTGTGGAAAGGGTGCATGGCCCCCTAGCTTTTTTGTCTTCTCTTGCTTGTTTTCTCAATTAAACCATTAACAACCATTAAAGACATGGGAAAAGGCCATCATCCAACATAGATAAAGGATTAAGTGCAGGTTATTTGATGTTGAGATTAAGACTATGTTTGGTTGCAGTGTAAATTTATTTGCATTAATGAGTGTAAATGTAAAAAGTGCAAATTTTGTTTTGCATTAGTACAAGATCTCCCTCTGAAAAATTTTGCCAGTAACACACTCCCTTAAATCTCTTGGGCACTAGTCCTAATCCTTCATCATTGAAGCTCTTTGATTCAGGCCAAATGAGTAGTTTCTGCTCGTTTCATTGAAACCAATGATCATTATAGATAATAATGATGATCTAGTAATATTGTTAATTAGATAATTAATTAAGGGATACAAATATAAACAAACAAATTGAACACATACCAGTATCGATGACACCTATTATTATGCCAGATTTGGAGGCAATTGGTTATATTGATAAATGGAATTAACTCCTAAAACTTCCCATGAATGTGTGGTTTGGACACGAACTGTGCTACTTTCAAAGACAAAAATAACTAATTCATCCTCTGCAATATCATCAATTAATGGAGAGCTGTAAGTGGAGAAGGTGTTTTAAGGATCCATTTTGACAGTCTATACTGTGGTAATTATGCATTGAACATCTAACACCAATCAAGCCACAAGAAATACATTTACAAGGGAGATTGTGTTATCATCAGAGTTAAGAGAATATCGTCGGTGAAATGTATCAGCAGTTTGTTGAATCTCTGGACTCTGGAGGCGTCAAGCCCTAGCCTTCGAAAGTATCAGGAAAATAGTAGTATTAATTAAAAAGCAAAAACCAAATATGTTTAAACATTTGAGCACAAAAGATTGAAAATTGTAGACAGAACTCAAAAAAAAAAAGAAAAGAGAAACTAAAGTGGAAAAAAAAAAAGCAAACTAAACAGAACAGAGAGGAAAGAGAATTGACAAAACTCACAAAGCTTCTTCTATAGGTATAGCTTTGTCAGCTTTGAAATCTCAAACATCACCGCAGATCTGAACTATCAATCAGAAGCAAGATTCTAACTTTGTATCAGCTATGAAGAGGGGAAGCACATCTTCCAACATTCATGATGAGATCTCCATTATTTCACCTCTGCAAACTTAGCAAATAAACTTGGCCGGTAAGATTTGATCGCCATGTTCACGGGATTTATCCTCGACTGCAAATGTAGGGTTTCCAGGGTCAACAAAACCAAGCAAACCTGAAAAAAAGTAGAAACAAAGAAAGATAAAAATTTATAAACAGAAAAAATGCTTAAGCTATCATTGAAACGAGACTCGAGAGAAAGGAATTATAGAAAAACAAAATAAAAATATGCAGGACTCACCTTTGGTTAAACTAGTTTTGGAGCTCTCCGTCAAAATCAAATAGCAGAGAATGCGAGAGTTTGAAGAGGTTTTTTGGTTAGACCAGTTAAAAGATTAAAACCGTCGTATCATTTCGCAAAGACCGCCACTTTTAAAATTTTTTATTTTATTTAGGTTTTTCAAGAGAAAGACCCCCACTTCAAATCTCGTTGTAGTGGCGGTCTTAAAAGACCACCATCTATAAACCGCCAGCTTTGATCATTTTTCTTGTAGTGCTCAAAGGAATTTGATGTACAAACAGAACACAAACAATGAATGCTCTGATCCCTGCAAAAAAAATGCATGTTCCATTAGTACTAGTTTCATTTCTTTGAGTTCATGTATCTAAGAACCAATATATACAAAAACAAGGTGAGAAACCTACAAGAAGGTGCCTTGATACTGTTGAGACAAACAAGGTTGTCTTTCAAACGAAATCTAGAAAAAGAAACACAAATGTCACATAAATATTACAAGCACCTAAGCATACTAGCAGGAAATAGAGAGAGAAAAAAGCTCATGAATGCATGTAAAGAATTTCTGAAAACATACTTCTCTACCAAATCTGTCTTTTAATAACTGGAAACATGACCAAAGAGCATATTGTCATTCACATAATTAAGTGATTGCTACAGTTATATTTTGTAATTTCTAGTGCCTACAAGAGGATGCTATTTGTAAGTCATTCATATCATCATCATCATCATCTACTAAGCCTTGTCCTAACTATATGGGGTTGGGCCAGTTGGCTAGATGAATCCTGTTCTGCTATTCTGTTCTGTTTAGGTTCATATCCCTTGTTAAATATAGGCATTTAAATACTTTCTTGTTACTTCCATCCAAGTCCTTTTCAGTCAGCCCTAGCTCTTCTAGTCCCTTCAACTTTAATAGATCACTTTTTCTAACAGGTGCCATAGATGATCTTCTATGGTGCCATAGTGGCAACATTTAAGGAGAGGATTATCTTATATTACAGAATCCAATAACAAGATTTTTTTGTTGTTAGATATGACTATGCAATCCATGCAAGTAGAGGATAGCATCTTAACCCTATTCAGACCCATTCCTATTTGAAGTAATTTATCTGTATTAACAGACAAGCATCGCTTTTAGGTGTTCATAATTTCCAGCATATGACTTTGTAGCTCAAACTTCCTATTTACATAACTTCTAGTGCTTTTTTATATAATTAGTTTTCTAAAAAAATTGTAGTGGCTGTGGGATGTTTTTAGAATTAGTTTTCTACCTCATAACTTTGGCCATGGTTTTCCTTTCCAAGATCAGTGTTATAAAATTATGGTTTTTCTGGAAGCTGTTTCAAAAGAAATTAGAATTTTGTGTCCCGGTGGGATTTCCTATGAGATAGTGGGATGGGTCTTACCATATTTATTTGTAAAGACTAAAGACTAAGGACAGGGTTTGCAGCCTGACACCAGGCATGATATCCTCAAAATTTCCATGCCTTCTAAATCATAGTGTCCTACTTAAGGGGAATTTCCTTGGTAATAGAATTTGTCTGGAAGGCAGCAGCTGCATATAACTCATGATTAGCTCTTTTAGAATCAGTAAGGTGCTTTCTTTGATATCAATGCACTTGATGCAGTAAATTCTTGTCACCTAGGCGATACCTTGATAACCATGATTCCAGTAAATTCTTGTTCCTATTGGACCACTAATAAGCATCTGCTCAATATCGGTACACTTGATGCAGAACAAATTGTTCCTACAACTTATCACTACTAATAAGAGAAAAAATTGCACTACTGTTTCAGACATTTCCTCATCCCACGTCATAATGCTAGACCAAGTCAAATGTGACCTACCTCAATAACCAAACTGTAAGAAGCCCTCTTTCTTCTTTCATCTAAATGAACTAAGATAGTATTTACAATTATACTCCCAAATGAACCCAACATTCTTTTAAGGCCCAAACTCTAAAGGGAGAATCATTCACTAACTCGGTGTAAATCAGATAGTTGAAGATAGAAAGTCAGGCACTGATGACCAAGTTTGAGGTCTAGCAAGTGAAAGGCCAAACCATGCTATTTTGCGAGCTGCATGATTAGCTTCTCGATGAGTGTACCGAACCAAGTGAGAAAGTTGTCTAAGATACTTCTGCATTCAGTCAGCAACAAACAGAGTCGCCACAGTGGTGTGGAGTCACCCACTAACAGGATTTACATAAACCTGTGCATCAATTTCCAGAATAACATCTGAGAACGCCATAGACTGTGCAAACACCAAATCCTCATAGAAAGCTCCTGTTTCCATCTCAATAACAGAATTGAGAAGTGATCAGAGTAGCTCTTGCAAATAAAAAGGACCCCACATGATCTCTGACTACCAACTGCCCCATTCATAGCACCCATAGCAGATCAACATTCACTTTTAATGAACCAAACATTTGAGGAAATTACTTTTAATTTATACATCAGACAAATGTCATTTGAATACCGTAGTGTTCGTGCTCTACTCAGTACTGACCATATCATGGTTTGTGTAGTTGTTTTACTTAACCTAATCTGTGTAGCTCCAGCAGCAATACTCATATCTTAGCTAGTCATCAACATCCTATCTTAAATCTTAATCATAATCCACTAGTTTGTTTACTACCAGACCAGAAAAGTATGTGACAGTTCCAGAAGTATGTGGAGGGAGAATTTGGACTGGAAGGATACTAGTTTCATACGGCCACACACAATTAGAAAGCACATTATTAAACTAGACAAACACAAGCCAAATAGAGTTTCGATGCAAGGGCTTGCAGACACTTTGACAAACTTCTACACCAAATGAACATGACTGACCATAGTCAAGGAAAGAATATTGCCCACAAACTATTTTTTATCACAGATGACTACAGAAATAGTGAAGTTTGCAGAGGTGATAAATAAATTAAAACTCATGGACATTCTGCTTCAAAAATCATAATTTACATGCAGAAATTTCAGAGAAAGCTTAAATCCAACAAAGCATAGTAACATTAGATGGGTGTTGTGGGTGCAGGCTGTGCAGCAATTGTCCACAAACTATTTTTGACAAATTGTTAATCAGAGATCAAATTTAAAGCAAAATTAACCAGAATTTACACTCGGAATATTTGAACTCCCATTCATTTACACTAGTGGAAATCCTTACACCCAAATTTAAAGCAAAAATGTCCAACCTAGATGCAAGGCATATGCTCCAATATCTTGAAACAAATCATTTGCTTAGTCAAGTTAGATAAACATGAACGTTTTTCAAATCAAATAAGCTAATTGTAGACCATTTTTCATAACTTACATGTTCGGTTAGTGTCAGTTGTAGAAGCCACACATACAAGAGAGGTAGCAATGGCTTCAAGATCCAATTCTAAAACATAATAATGCACAACCAAAAACACATATTAGAAGCAAAAACATATAAATAAACATAAACATATAGGAAAGAGAACGACTGCTTCAAGATCCAATTTTTAACTTACTTTTTGTTGTTGGAGCTTCTAACCAATCTTGCCCACAAAGTAGAGCCTCCACTGTTTCTGGAAGTAATGAAGTACGATACTAATCCACTATTCTACCCCCAGTACTGAATGTTCCCTCATATGATACAGTTGGTACTGGAAATGCCAAAATATTGTGTGCCAATCTAGAGAGCTTCGGAAACTTCAGACCATCAACTCGCCAGAATCTCAAAATATCAAACTCTTCACCTCTAGGAAATAGTTTTTCTTCAAGATAAAGATCCAACTCTAACTTTTGAGTCCCTAGACAACATTTCGGACGCTCTACAATCAACCACCGATCAAAACCGCTCAAAATATCTAAAACACCACGAATCATCAATGGTTGAGATGCAATACTAGAGCATACAAGTGACCTATCCTCTGTATCAAAACCCACATACTCTGAATATAGGTCATGCATTGCTTCTCTAACTCTTGTAACATGTTTCTCAGCAGTCTCTCCGTAAATGAGATTGTAGTAATACGTTACAATCTCCATCTTGAACTTAGGATCAAGTACAACGGCAATCGCAAACACCAAAGAACATTCATCCCAATATTTATCATATTTTTGCTTCATTCTATTTGCCATTGAACGAACATACTCATGTTCACTATCTAGCCACTGAAGCAACAGAAACTTGATTGTGCAAATATCAGGAAAATATACATTTGAGGTTGGGGAAGTAGTACTTGAAAAGTTTTTTGTGCAAATGTAAGAAACTTGCAAACAATCTCGTAACACTGCCCCCATCTCCCATTCCTCATCAAACGGTAGATACTTATAGTCACGGTCAAGCTCGGCTAGTCGACAAAATGCTTCCTTCAACTCTAAAGCTATGTCCAACATATCATATGTAGAGTTCCATCGCGTTGGACAATCAACAACCATCCCTCTCTTATGCTATACTTTTGCTTGGCTTCTTGCATTGTCAAATTTTTGCTTCTTATGGGGTGTCAGTCTTACATATTTAGCACTTTCTCGAATCTTATGCAACAATGGTAACATTTCTCTCAACTCATCTTGCACAATAAAGTTCAAGATGTGAGCAGCACATCTCACATGAAATAGGTCACCATTCAATAGAAGCGAACATTTAACACAGAGCCGGTTCCTAAGCTCCCTAACCATAACATCGTTGTTAGAGGCATTGTCAACTATTATAGAACATATTTTTTTGTCAATGTTCCAAGTCAACAACCTCTCCATAACAACTTCATATAGAGTGTTTCCATCATGGGGACACTCAACAGTCATAAATGCAATAACTTTCTTCTTCAGCTCCCACCCATCATCTATAAAATGTGATGTTAAACAACAACACCTCAAATTCTGTTCTGAAGTCCACATATTAGTAGTTAAGCTAATCCGACAACCAAATTATCAAAGTACTTGTACAACCTCACCTTTTCATCCATGTAAATCTTCATGACATCATTCTTTATTGTATTTCTAGAAACAAACCTAAATGATGGCTGAAGATTATTGACAAATATCTGAAAAAATTCTTCTTCGACTATGCTAAATGGATGCTCATGCTTCATTATCATCTCCGCTGAATCCATTTCTCTCCTATCTTGGTCAAATTTAAACTCCACTTCAGCTTGTTGTTTACTAGTGCACATTTCCTTCATTTTAGGTCATCTTGGTAGATGACTCAACAAGTGGCTTGTCCCTTTACTACTTCCACCCATATATTGTTTTCCACAATATATACAAATAGCTTTCTCCTCCCCAAAATCCAATCTTATTTTTTTGAAGTGTTCCCAAGCTTTAGATCTAGTCCTCCTTCGACTAGAACTTGACGCCATAGATGTTTCATTGACATCTTTGGAATTGCTTGCATTTTCATTGCTAGGTTCGTTCATCCTTGATGCATAAAGACAAAAAACAGCAAAAAGAATAAGATACATAATTGCAATAGCTAAATATTCAACTAAGAAGATGAAAATGAGAATGAAAACAAATATTCACAAAATTGTAACAGCACATTTCTAATAGCCCCTTTCCCCCTCTGCCATTATACCAGTCAAGGAAAAGTTCACTTCTACTATAAACTAAAAGAGAACTTAGGCCCCATTTGGTTCGCGGGAATAGGGGTCTGGAATCGGAACCGGAATGTGCTACTTGGATTCTAACTGTTTGGTTGGGTGGAATCAGAATCCCATTCCCATTCCTGCTGGAATGGCATTCCCCCATTTGAGGGAATGGCCATTCCATGCCCCTCCCTTGGGAATCAAATCCCATTCCTGATGATTTTAATTCCCATCCCCACTCTTGTCTGAACCAAAACAGATTATGGGAATGGACCATTCCAATTCCAATTCCGGAGGATTTCGATTTCAATTTCGATTCCAATTCCGACTGCAAATCAAACAGACCCTTGTTTTCAAAATGTGGACAAAAATAATAGGACATAAATTCTTACAAATACAAAATAATATAAAATACAAATATATACAATACAAATACATACAAATATGTACAGTACAAATACATACAAAAATAAAAAGGGGAATATGGCTCACTAAAATATCTCACTGAAAACTGAAAACCATCTCAGAAATTCTAACTTCATCGTATGCTTACAATAATTCAAAACCAAAAACACTTCCAAGTTCCAACTAAGAAATTTAATTATGTTAAAAAATCATTCATGGATCTAGAATTTAATAAAATTATTAATTCGTATTTCGTGAGGTAGAGTGGTAATGGAAAAAAATTTTGGCCACATTTTGGGAGAGAAGGGCATGTTGGTTTTTGTTGCTTCAGAATCCAATCTAGATCAATCCGCTTTTCCCCGACCCAAATCCAGCAATTCTGTGGTTTCTTTTGGATTTATTGGATTCACACATACAATACAACGATATCTTTAGTCACTCACAGAGACCAAGCAAAGCAAAATCACTAGTTCTCTCTACACCACCATGGGCCATGACATGAGTACATGACCATGACCCACACCAGTGACAGTGACACCAGTCCGGCAATCCAATATAGAGAATAAAAGGACTACAAGATATACTAGAACTTACCTGGTTCGGAATTTTTGCCTGAGGTCTGTCAATGCAACAGGGGAGGCTTCTTTGGTTTCTGTCAGTTCGTCTTGGACGACGATGATGACTGAGCTTCAACAGATGATAACGATGAGAATTCGAAACTACTGCCGACTTGAAATGGAGTGATAACCAGAAGGACCTTCATCGCTGTAACTCTACTGATGCACCAATGAGAAGATGAGAAGAAACGACGGCAGAGAAGGATAGAGAGGGAGAGGGAGAAGAGAAAGGAGAAAAAGAACGAACAAGTTTTTCAGAGCTATGAGCCTTCGAAGGTTGCTTTGAATTTCAGAGTTAGGATTCGATTTTGGCCTTGAATCAAATCTGTAGGGTTTGGCGAGATATTGGGTTTTGGTTTTAGACCGACTCAAACCGATAATAATACGGATGGTTTTATTTTGGGTTGGCCCAACCCAATAAGTATAATAGATTGTCTAAAACCGATTCGATAAGATTTGAATCGGTTTAGATCCATCCCATAACTGTCTAATTGGCAGCCCTAGCTCGGACTCCTGAACTACAAAAAATTTGGATGGATATATATTTACAATAAATAATTGCCAGTCATCAAACCAATACTATACTAAATAGAAAATGATGGACAAATTTGATTCAGGAGTTCAACAAAATAACGGGGAAAAACTACACCCAAAAACAAATGAAGAATCACTAGGATTTAATAAAGAATGAGTGGAAGATATTTCATAAACTATCAATTATACCAGTTCGGGTTGGGATCCAGTGAACGAAATATTCACTACTGGGGATGACTTTTGTGATGACTATCTGAAGGTATGTAGGTTAATACAATAGTACTTGTAGGTTAATTAATTTGTTAGGTAGAACCTTATATAGATATGTCCTTGTGTGATAGACATATCATTATGCGACATAGTTTAGATACAAGGGTCTTTCCCATACAGCATATTTGGACATCATATTTGGTGGCACGGTTGATCACGATTACAATAGTTGGCCAATTGAGGGTGCACTACCGGAGGTGGTACCGTTAACCCAACCGATTCTGGATGATGACCAAATGGATGAGGAATTATACCATGAGTTAAAGACACCCATTGATGCATCCAAAACAATGCAGGAGGTTGGAGTGGTCCCAACTAGCTCTTACACACATAGGGTTACCCCTAGAGACATAGGGGAGAGTAGCATCTCTACTAGGAGAAAGAAGACAACGGGTGTTACACGGATTAGCAAGAACTAGAAAGAATTGCTTTTGCATTTGAGATAACAACTATGGGATGTTGCATAGTTGGCAAGGACACGAGGTTAACATCTATGGAACGTTGCATGAACCTCCTAAATGAGATCCCTGACATTGAAGAGGGGGAGTCTTATATTCATGTTTGCTAGCCTCCAGTTTATGAAGAGTGAATTCTGTGACTTAATTATTGTGATCAAGTCTCCTACCTTATGATTAAAGATGATTAGAGAATTATACGAACGTCCCGATGGAGTGTGAAACATGTTTGCACCAATCTGAATTCTGTTTTTTGTTGCATAGACTTCAAAACTTAAGTACTCTTTGTTTTGATTGCACTGTGTTAGGATTATTATCGGTGGACTTGATTTACATTTTAATATTACTCAAGTGTGTTGTTTATATTTTTTTGCATTTATGCCTTCCATTCTATGATTATAAGTTTTGTTTGTGTTTATTAAATTGCATGGTAGTGTAAGAGATGGCTATTAAAAAGGAAATTGGATTAGAGACTAAGGTAGAATCGGATATCGAGTCAGGTTCTAATAGTAGCTTACCTTTCAACGGGGTGATGGACACCGATGAGGAGATGGAGTGCATTATGGAGGTTGCCTCTGTGGTGAGTTTTACTATAATACATGAATTCACAAAGAATCCAAACACACCATGGACTGCACTGGAGCTGTGTATAAACAATCTCTCCTCGAAGGGCATGACGATCGATTGTCGTATAGACAAGCATGTGTTTATACGACTATGCAATACATTGAAAGAACGAGGCCTCATTGCAAACAGTCAGGATGTTTCGGTGGAGGAACAACTAGCCATTTTCCTTCATATTGTTGGACATAATGAGAGGAAGCTGATGATGCAAGAACATTCCAACATTCCGATGAGATGATTAGTCATTTTTTCAATGACATGTTGATAAAAATAGTAAAATTATCATTGTCAATAATATGCCCCATCCATACATCAACCAGAATCCAAAATACTGGCCATATTTCAAGGTAACATTCGCACACTATGAGACCATTTTGAAACTACATTATAAATGGACACTGAAAGTTGTTAAGGTTTTTTTTGGTAGAACTTCATAGGGACTATTAATGGGACACACATATCTCCGTGGGTCCCTACACTGATAAGTAGACACCATATCAACATAGAAAAGGGCCTTATACAAAAAATGTAATGGCCGCGTGTGATTTCAACATGTGGTTTATATTTGTCCTTGCTGGATGGGAGGGGACCACATATGACTACCGCATATTTGCAAAAGTCGTACGTAATCTGAAATATAATTTCCCACATCATGCATACATTGCAATTTTTTCATGTATTATCTAAATTTGTGCAAAAAATAATATTCATGTCCCATACACATTCTCAGGTAAGTATTATGTTGTTGATTCTACATAACCCAACATGACTAGCTATATAGCACCGTTCCATAATACACGATACCATTTGCCTAATTTTCGGAGGGGAGTCTTCTACAAAAAGAAGAGTTCTTTAACAATGCCCATGCCTCATTGAGAAGTGTCATTGAGTGGAGTTTCGGTGTATTGAAGGCTTGATTCCCTATACTAAAGTGTATGCCATGCTATCCACTAAGAACACAACAACTGATAGTTGTGGCTTGCATGGCAACACACAACTTTATCAGGGACAACCAAGACATAGACACCTTGTTTCAAGAGTTTGAGAATGATGAAGAGTTTGAAATTCAATATCTGTCTTAAACAAATGAAGAAGATATTGATGAGGTTGATTTTAGTAGTGTGGATCAACAACAAGAGGCATAGGTACTTTCTGGAAGTACTTTATTGTGGATTTTGTTTTAGACACCTTGTTTCTGAAAGTAGTTTGTAAAAATTGCTCCTTAAAAACACTTTCTGGAAGTACTTTGTGAAAATTGATCATTAAAATGCTTTTTGAAAATATTTATTATTATTATTATTAGGGTAAAATACAAAAACCTCCCTTTCGTTAATGACCAAGATGAAAAACGTTAAATTGATGTCAAAATACCTATTTTACCCCATCAAAACAAATTTAAAGCACAACTGCCATTAAAGCTTCCTTCAAGGTCAGTAAAGCAAGGACTCAAGTGGAGGAGGAGTAGAACATTTATGTCTATTACTACTTCTCTTTGCAGAAGCAGACGTTGATGAAGATGTAGACGTAACGAAATTTGACAAATGGATCGATTTCTTTTTGTTTTTTTATTGCATATGCAACAAAATTTTATTTTTTTAATTCACTTTGAAATCTGAACTGGTTTTGGGTCGACGAATCAAAGGGATTACGATGAATCTAAATTGATTTTGGTCGCTCTGAAATCTGCTAAATTTGTTAAACTAACCATCTCTTTGCTTCCTGTAGTACATGGCATCAAATATGCCTTCGGCGTGCATGATTTCCCAACAATAGGGATATTCGAAGGTGAGCTGAAACAATGTCCCGGTTTCATGTTCAGGAAGTCGATGGCTAATTTAACAGATCTGGATTCTACAGGTGAATATTAGTTATGAAAATCAAGGAATCATCTTTCTATTTATTCTACTTTAGTCTAGTTCTCTTGGGGTTTTCATAGATCTGATACATCTTCTCAAATTCTATCCTTACTGTTTACATCTTCATCAACGTCTGCTACATCTTCGTCAAATTCCGTTACGTCTACATCTTCATCAACGTCTGCTTCCGCAAAGAGTAGTAGTAGACATAAACGTTAAATTTGTTAAATTAGCCATCTGGTTTTGGGTCGATGAACCTGAACTGGTTTTGGGTCGCTCTGAAATTTGTTAAATTTGTTAAACTAACCATCTGTTTGTTGTTTTCTTCCTATAGTACATGGCGTCGAATATGCCTTCAGCACACACGATTTCCCAACAACGGGGATATTCGAAGGCAAGCTGAAACAACGCCCTGGTTTCATGTTCAGGAAGTCAATGGCTACTCCTCCTCCACTCAAGTCATTGCTTTACCGACCTTGAAGGAAGCTTTAATGGTGGCCTTGCTTGAAATTTGTTTTGATGGGGTAAAATAGGTATTTTGAAAAAAAATATCATTGGTTTAACGTTTTCTGTCTTGGTCATTGACAGAAGGGAGGTTTTTGTTGATTTTTTTTTGAAAATAGAAGGGAGGGTTTTGCTAAAGCTAAACTATATGGGAGGTTTTTGTATTTTATCCTTATTATTATTATTATTATTATTATTATTATTATTATTATCCATGTTGCATTCAATGTGTGGGCCCATGTGGGCTCTCATGTGTCATGGTGTGGTGATGTGGTGAATTTTCACTAAAATTTATATTAATAATTATATGGAAAGCATTGTTTATATGTATGAATGAAGTGAAGGCTAAAAGTGTCATTTATGCCAATATAAACACTTGTGGGGAAAGTAGCTCCACAAACATCCCCACTCAATAAGTGCTTAAAAATTACAATAAGTGATTTAGCGAGTAGATCACCAAACAACCTTAAGTGATTGTTAAAAGAAATATTTCTTTTGACAACCTCTTATTCACCAAACATAGCCTAAAGCCTTGAACTCATCTTAAAATGAAAAATAATATTCCCTAGGCAACAAGTGAGTGAAGAAACTCTAGAAAGCCAAGCCACATCAAGTCTCTTTGGAAAATAAATACAAAAGTCAAAGTCAAAGCAAAAGTTTACAAACTCACAATGTTAAATGAAGGACCCTAGTTCTTTCGTACTACGATCGAGTTGGATTCGTCTTAAAGAATGGCAAGATTCACAATCAGGCCTGGTAGATAAAGTGTGGAAGCAACTGTCTGGTTACAGATCCACATGATAGTTAGGAATGGTTAATGATATTCATATTTGTTTCCTAGCTAGTTATGCAGGTGAAGTTATACCAAACCAAGAAAAATTCCCACCAGAGGGCTAACTAGAGGGCTCCATGTTAGGAAAAAAAATAATAGTCAACCTCTAAAAATCACTCTGCACTAGAAGGTTTGTCCTATACTAAAACCCATCTAACTTTGTTACTATTATGAACAACTTCCCTACCTCTGTATCAATTGTGGCTTAATAAGCCATGCATGGTCCAACTGTAAACGAATAAATCTTAAGACAATAGA